AATTTATTAAAAAAGTTAAATAAATCGAACTACAGATCTGTGTCAATAACGTCAATAATATGCAAAATATTGAAAGGAATTGATATATTGAAAAATTTTTGACAACTGTTATCTAATCACAATATTGCCAACATAGTTTGGTGAAACAGAAACCATGTCCCACAAATCTTTTAGAGACTCTTAATTTTATCACACATAATTTATCAAAAAACATACCTGTAGATGTTATAATGCTAGGTTTTGCAAAAGCATTTGATAACACACCACACAAGCCACTTATGTTAAATTTAAGCCACTTATGTTAAATTTAAACACAAATAGAATAAAATGAAAATTTTAAGGCTGTAAAAATATATGCAGATAACACCAAAATCTCATCAGAAGAAAACTCAATTTAAGATACTCAATTGAGTTTTCTTCTGATGAATGGTCAGAAAAATGGTTAATCAAACTAAACAAGAGTAAATGTGTACCACTATTTAAAAATCTTTTTGTGAATGGTTGAAATAGCGCCAGCCATAGTATTGGCAAGCGCGTGGGTGAGCACAAAACTGCAAGAGCGCAAAAGCGTTCATCAAACAGAGAAGAATGATTATTGAAATGTAAGAAACACATGATAAAATCTTCATCAAAAGCAAATGAAATAATAGGGATAATAAAAAACACCTTAATGCGCGTTAACAATCATTTAAATTAATTTGTTCTTTTATTTAAAAGAGTTCCCCATATTATTATATAAATATGGATAAAAATGAAGTTTATTATTCTAAATATAATTTAAAAATTAAATAATCTTTGTGTTTTATTTTTTTGTGTGTTTTATGTTAAAGTTGTTTTGTGCGTGTTTTAGTTTTATTTAAGTTCCTCTTTTGTTAAGATTTATTTTGTAATTCTAGAAAAAGTTGTCTAGATAACTAGATAGTCGAAAAATATCACATGCATGGCGTTTGTTGTGTCTTTGTTTACTTTACATTTTGCAATGTTGTCGCGTTTAACAAATGGCAGTACAAGAAGTACATTTAAATGCGTAGTGGTCTGTTTGGGCAGTTTTGCGGACAAAAATTTACCCACTATATTTACTTATAATAAATTACAATACGTCCAAATTATGACGCACTGGAGTTTTTTTGTTTTGCATTAGTTTTTATCCAATACTTTATATTTGAAGATAGATGTTAGATGAAGAAGATAGATAGACTTTTTAATTAGAAGATTTTTTTATATACTTCAAACTTATATTTATTTTAATGCATGGCATCACAATACTATTAAATAAATACACAAACAAGTACTAATTGGCTTCAGTAGCGTTTTCTGATGCGTCTGTTAGGGCGTGTTTCTTTGGCTTTACGCTTTTTGTTTAGTTGTTTCACATTTTTTTACTACGTCGTTTTTTTGAAGCCATTTTCAAAGACTTATAATTAAGAACTTAAAACTCAACAAACAATATCTTTAGTAAAGATATTCAACAAAACTCAACAAACAATATCTTAATTAAAGATATTGGGGTAAAGACTTTACCCCAAGTTACATAGATTTTATGCGTAATTTTTAAGCATAGAGTCTAGCCACGATAAATAATTTGCTGGGCCTACGAATTTGGGGGCCTTTTCTTAAGTTTAGGGTCATTTTCTGAATACAAGAATTTTTTTAGCAAAACATTTAGAAATGGAAGATTTTTAAGATTCTAACGCCCTAATGACAGTGGTAGCTTTAAACTTCTAGCCACAGAATTGTTCGTATTGTATTTTCAGCTCAATATATACCACATAGTGAAACTGCGCCTATGATGGCAACTTTAAAGCTTCATATCATATAGACCAATAATAAAAGTTTTGATATAGATAAACTCCTTGTTACATGTAAAACAATAATAACTCTAAGACTTTTCATCATTTTTTTTTTTTTTTAAATAGTTATTCCTTTTTTTTAAGAAAAAGCACAAGTACGCCATCATAGGCAACCACTGTTTCTATGATGATATAGTGGAGGATGATGCTGGTTAGGATGTAGGGTAACTTAATGATTTCAATTATTTTTAGAGTCTTCCTTCAGAAAAGCAAAAAAAAACTCGTAACCGTCCTAGTTTACCATTTCATATTATACAGCAGTATTGTAAAAGTTTAGCTTGGATATATTACGCATTATGTATTTTATGGATCATAAATCATTTGGAGCATTGCTTTCGTTTTATTTTATTAAAAAATAAGTTTTTCTCATAAAAAAAAAGGTTTTCCTAACTCGTCAATAATGTAACACACCCAACTCGTCAGTATGGCATCATGGGAAGAAGTCATCATTTTCATTAAAACAAGCTCTGTCTGCCTCATTTAAAAAATAAAATTAAAGTAAGTATTCCACTAAATGCACAAATCTTGGATATAAAATGCATGAAAATTCTCTTTCTCCACATTTATTAATAAAATCACAATCTTACGAAGAGAATAAAACTATTACTGCAAACCCCAAATTCGATTTTTTTGCGCACAAGGAACTTGTTTTCACTAAAACTAATGTAAAGTTACTGTGTAATTATGTAGTTCTAATCAATTTTTCACCAAAACTAATTTTTATTGAAATATGACCGGTGCTATGCCATTATAGGCGCCATTTCCCTAATAATATATACTAAATTAACTAGTTTATTTTTTCTATTGTGACAATAATATAAGTTTTATTGCTGTGTTTAAGTTTTATTCTTGTGGTTTATATATTAAACATTTATTTAAAAATGTTTAAATTGATTTTATTGCAAATTTTTAAAATGTATTTATTTTATAAAATAATAACTAATATAGTAAAACGAAGTTAAATGAAATAAAAAGTGTTGCAACTCTTGCAGTAAACAAATTTTAAAATATTCTCATTTAAATTGTAAATAACTTTAGGCTGTAATGATTATTTTAATGCTCATTAACAAAGTTGTCTTGCTTTTTTGCAGTCAAAAATTTATAATTTATATATACGTATATATAATAAAGTTATAATTTATATATATATAATAAAGTTAGTTGAGACACCTTCCTTGGAAATATTGCCGGTCCACTTTTTTTATATGTGTCAACGAGTTGAATGACAAAAGTAAGAACAACAACAACAACAACAACAACAACAACAACAACAACAACAACAACAACAACAACAACAACAAAAAAGGATGCAAAGCGCTGTAAAAGAGTTTTACTCAAAATTCTGAGTTTGGATCGTCCACAAAAAACGCCACGCATAATTTATTTAAAAATTTTTAATGCTAATAAAATGATTTTTATTAATTCTATTTTGATTTTTTATGTAACTTAAGGCTCTGTGGATCGTCTGATGATCTTTTTTGTTTTATTTTAATAAAACAAAAAAGATCATAAGTTTTCTGCCGCGGCAAAATAAACAATAAACAAAAAAAACTACGCTACGCTAAACTTTACGAGTAAATATTTAATAATAAAACTTAGCGTTGCGTAGTTTTTTTTTGTTTATTGTTTATTTTGCCGCTTAATAATATATATATATTTTTGAAGCATATAAATAAGTACTTATTTTTTGTACTATAATTACTAACTTTTATTTTGGTATTAATTATAACAAGTGATAATTTTAAAAGTAAAATTGTGTGAATTGCCTAGCATGTTTGGCCAAAGAGACCGCCAGGTGTTATGTCGTGTCACTCATACAAATTTTTTTTTATTTTAGAGTATTAGTAGTTTACTTATAAAAAATGGGTTTTTTAAATCCGAATACGTTGCAAAGTGTCAAAAAAGGGCAATGCAAAAGTTTCTAGCCTCATATTTTTATAAATGATTATAATAACAAATTTTATTCTGATTAAAAACTGTATAGAAACATACGCTTGAAATTTAATGGAAAGTTCTCTATTTTACATTTGAAACAAAAAATTTATATATTAAAATGATGAAATTCGACATCTTTTTGAATATCTTATTTGCAACTTACGCAATTTAACCGAACTTCTTACAACATAGAAAATACCTGGTTTTTATTAACATCAATTTTAAATTAATGAATTTATTAGAAGAATTTGAAAGTTAAAATATTTTTTAAATAATGAAAATAATAGCCGCTTTGTATTTTCTATTTATATGTCAACATAAATTAATAATAATAAATTAAGCAACTGTTCCACCCCGAGTTTGGTTTTTACGCAAAGCCTGGCTTGGGGTGCCGAACTCGGGGTAGGTACCCCGAGTTCGACACGCATATCCCAAGTACGGATTTCGAAAGTTTTAAAAGTTATTATTTTTGCAACATGCTGATTTTTTTTTAGCGGATTTTTTTTTTTTTAGCGGTAGCGTAATATAAAATAAATAAAACTATTTTTGATTATTAAAATTTGCGTTATAAAAAATAATAAAAGTACAAATATTTATTTTCGATGTTCTTCTTTAAAATCATAGCTTTTTCTGTAAAGATTTTAAACAAAATGAAATATATTTTTTAGACAAACTTATATCAATGTTTCGGGCAAACATATGTCCATACTTTTTATGTAGAGTTGAGTTAGTATGACAATAAAGTTATATTCAAAAAATGTTCAACTTTAGTACCATTTTATTATTTTTTTTAAATTGACTAATTTTTATTGGAGCTTCCGTAAATTGCCTGCATTCTTTACGGCACTCTCGGTGAATTTCCTCTCTTTTTTAACCAACGAGGGAAATTTTAAGCTCAATATATTAATAATAAGCTCGGTAAAGAGAGCGCAAAAGCGAAAGTTTTTCCTACTGGCAAATAGAACAAATTTAAACTGGAATCATAATTCATTATGAAAACGATATTTATAGCATATTACTATTGTATTATAAAAAATGATAAACGGTCACTAAATTAATTGGATAATATTTACAGGTTTTATTGAATGTAACTAAACCTATAGCAAACCAAACATTTTGTTGCGGGAAAAATTTTTTATGGAAAATTATATTTACAGATGTTACAAAACAAGGTTTTTTTGCAATTAATATAGAGTTTTTTCATAAAACAAGTTATTAAAGTATTCATTTGGAAACATAATATTATGTGAAAACAGATAACATTTTAACAAGTTTAGTAAAATTCAAAAGAATGCAGATTAAAAAACTTTTATAAACTTGAGCAATCATCAAGTTAAAGCAATATTAAATTGTTTAATTGAAAGTTTATCACATTAAACCATTTTGTTTAAATTGTATTTTCTTGCAGCATATTGTTGAAGGGCAATTACTGTATTTAACTTCAAATGCTTATAAACACTAATTATTAACGAAACCAACTCATCGCCGACATCAATGTGGATATCTATCATCTTATCTTGACGTGTAATGTCACCATATGCAAATGGAAAACCTCACGCGTCTTCGATGGCATCGTCTGAAGCTAGATAATGAGTAATATCACCATTTTGAAGCATTTTTTTAAAGTGGTCCAGAAATATGTCTTTTTCTTCAAATGTAATGGACAATTCCGTCGCTAAAAATGCAACAAATTAAAAGACATTAAACATTTATTTAATTATAATACAGTCAATTCTCCATATCTCGAACCTCCTAGGAATCAAGAAATTAGTTCGAAATAGCAAATGTTCGAGTTGTCGAGAGCATAATATGATTAAGGGTTCAACGGGATTAAAAAAAAGTTGGAGATACTCAAAAGTTGGAGATATCTAGATATCGAGAGTGAATGTATTTAAAACAAACGTCATATACATAAAAGTAAAAATTAAAAAAAGAAGATACAAACATATTGCCATACACACACAAGGCAAGCAAAAAATGCCTCCGATAAAAAACAAAAAGCATGTTTATAAACTTTTTTGCTATTATATTTTCGTTATTATAATAAATATTATAGATATTTTAAAAAACAACATAAAAACAACTCACTATTTGAAATTTGCACATTTGAAACTTCATCTCTTTTAAATGCCACTACATCTTGGGAATTGCCTGAAATTTAATTATGCAAATACTTTTGCCACACTCAACAGAAACAAAATGTCTAAGAATGCATTAGAAGACAGTTTAATTTATACTGAACTTTAGGCGAGGCAACATGGTTAAACTTTCTTTTTATTATAAATTAAATTTAAAAATCTGCTGTAGTTATGATTTATAAATAGTAAGTAATTTGTATACTGTGATATAATGTTACCTGAATCTTCGCCTTCATTTATATTGTTGCGATTAAACTCTAATAACTTTGGCTCATTGATTGCTATAAATATACAAAATAGATATTCTTATTTATTGCAAAGAACTTGAAAAAACAAGTATTTTGAAAGTTGTTGTTGGTTTGTAACATTCTTATTAGAAATTACTAAAAGTTAAACTAACTTTACTTAAGGTTAAACTTACTGGAAATTATTGCCATTTGAGTATCTACTGATTCAGTTAAACTATCATCATTCCCTAAAATTTAAAAAGCTGTATTTGTTTATAAAATGTTCAATGAATTTGAAGTTCAAAAGGAATTACTTATTTACATTTTATTTCAAAGGAAAAACTGCCACAAAACTATAACAAATCAAAATCCTCCAAAACGCTCAGTTGATATATGTACTTAACGCCTGGAAGCCTCATAAACCAATATGATTTATATACTATTCATACAAAATAGTAAAATCTAATTTTCTATTAATGGTGTTAAATAAAATAATTCAAAGCTTCATAAACTATTGGTCTAAGGTTTCATTTGACTTACTTTCACTCTGTACAGAAAAATGGGGGTTGTTGTTTTTGCAATTTTTTGTTTTTCCTTTATGACATCATGAGACACATGGTGTTCCATTTTCAAAGCATCGACAGTGCTTGGTTTGGCTTTTTTACATCGACAAAAGACTACTTTACTAGTGATTTCATTTAAGACGGCCTCACTTAAGCTAACATTGGCATCACTTTTAACTTTGACAATACTGCTGTATGGCATTAAGTTAGTGGCATTAAATCTTTTTTCAAGAACTCCATGTGATGTCACCAACTTATAGGTTGGATTTTCCCCAAACGACTTATGAAGAACAACACATGGCAAACGCAGCATATCTGTAGAGTTACGCAATGATTTTGGTATAGCCACACTGACATGATCACCTTCTTTGAAAACTGCAACTTTAAATTTTTTTTGTTTATTATACTTTTTAACCATGAATTTTGCATTTTTTTCAAGATTACTTGCTGTTTCATGGCAAAGGTTCTTGCGAATTAGACAAGTTATCTAAAAACACAACTTGATATAAAAACTTGAATAAAAAAATTAATTCGAAAGATTTTTTTTAACTGAAAAACATTAACATTATAAAATATTTTTTATCTAAAAACACAACTTGATATAAAAACTTGAATAAAAAAATTAATTCGAAAGATTTTTTTAAACTGAAAAACACTAACATTATAAAATATTTTTTTATACCTTCATCCTATCTTTAGTATCTTCTTCAGACTCATGGTGGTACGAAAAGTCAACAATACCACAGTCTTCTCTGTCAGTGAAAGTGTTATCACTTAAGAAACATTGATACAAAAATAAAGAAATAAAGAAGATCAAAAAATATTTTGTATACTGAAAACAAAATATTTCTAAGTATTTGAAAACAAAAAATTCAATTAAAGACATGAAAACTGAAAGTTTTAATGATTGTCAAACATTTTTGTTTGACAACAATTATAATAAAGACCACAAGTAATAACAAAGTAAACAGTAAGTTACCTTCAATATCACTTGAAGTTCCACTGCATTCTGCAGTGTTACTACCTCCATCACCTGGAAAATAAATAACATGAGGCATTTTTCTAATCAAAATGTACAATTGCTAGTCTAATTAAAATGCATAGCAATTTTTAATATAATAGATAATACATTTCGCTTTTGCAATGCTTTTGTAAGTTCTGCTGCATTCTGGAGTGTCAGTTGTCCTACCATCAGCAACATCTAGTCAATAACAAAAATTTCAGATATTTATAGTCAAAATGAATAAACCATCCAATATTTTATAAAAGAAACTTGCACACACACACAAAATGGAATTTCAAATAACTTATTTGATTAATGAATAAAAATGAAGAAAGTAATCCAGGTTTTTTATTATAAAATCAACAATTTTGTGACACAAATGACAAAAAAAGATAAAAAAAAAAGAAATTTATGTTCATCCTGCTATATTGCAAAAAATGATTTTTTAATAGGATTGACATTTACCTCACTGAAATAGGATTGACATTTAACTCATCTTTAAATTTACCTTTATTAGGATTCTTAATTATGTTTGCAACATCACCTTCATTTACTACTTTACCCTCTAAAGGGAATTGTCCATTTGGTTTTTGGCCAAACACAATCTCATAAGGTGTCGTTTTTATGCTCCTTACATATGTAGTATTCATAACATCTATACAAATTTAGTTAGATTTTTAGGGGAAAAAAATAAAATATTTTTTCCTATATTACAGTAAATTGTTTGTCAAAATGATAACAAAATATGTTACATAAAAAAAATTCTATCATTGTAGTGGCAATAAAACTGATTAACTTTGAGCATAAGCTTTTCATTAAAAAAAAAAAAAAACAATTTACATTAAACTTACATTGAATTTCAACCAACCATTCTGACCTGTTACTTTGACCAGAATCATATTCACGAGAAGATATTAATCGCTCTATGGTAAAGTTGCCCTGTTCAACTAAACCTTAACTTTGAGAGTGTCTTGGTGAACCATTTACAATTTGGGTTTTCCCAGGCCATGTTAACAAAAGTGATTTTATAACATCATTTACAAATTCACTACCGTTGTCACTATGCAAAATTGCTGGTAAACCAAAGTAACTCAGCACAAACCTTTTAAGATTATTTGCTGTTTCTAAAGCTATTCTATTTCTCATAGGAAACAAAATATGAAACTTACTGAAATGATCAACAACATGACCAATATATCTGAATTTCTTATCTGGCTTAGATTCCATTGCAATCAAATCAATCTAAGTATATTTAGTATATAAATATAATATAAATAGTCAAACTTTATCAATAGCAGAATAACATCTAATAAACAACAAAGTTATATTTAACAACAAACTGAGTATATTTGTTAAAAAAACATGGTTAAAAAACAAATGAGTATACTATTTTAAAAAACATGGTTTTTAAAAGAAATTTAAAGTAAAAAACTGATTATACTTAAAGACGTTGCAAAAAACCAGTAGAAATTATTGGTTGTAATAGTGCTTTTTTTAACTGCCATTTATTTAAATTGCAAGTTGGGCAGAAACTGATAAAAATTTCAACAGTTTTTCTTGCAATGTTTGCATAACCCTCAATAATCTATAAAAGAAAAGTTAATTTATAAATACTGCAAGCCCCTACATTTAAAACTGAATCTTTAAAATGTAGAAAACTATAATATTTTAGGTAGTTAGTATTTATCTGAAGGTAGATAAAATTAGTACAACATCATAATTTCCACAGCATATAAAAAGTAAATATACCATGACTATCACAATAGAAAAAGCACAACATAAAATAAAAAAAAATATTAGTAAGTAATCAGTACCTTCTTATAAGTTTTTAAAGCCCCAAGATGCAGACCATTCTGGCAATGTGCAATATTAATAGCAGAAAAAACATCTTTAGTACTCGCTACACGACTGTAGTTTCCAAATGGCGATGATTCTCGCAAATTATTCTGAATTAATAAATAAATTTAATTAGATATTTACTTATTAAAACTTTAAAACCAATTTTAAAACACTTTAAATATACTATACAGCATGATATAATATTAATAAAAGTATAATTGTAAACACATTTACCTTCAAACTTAAATCTATTAAAGTTTCTATCTATCGAAGCTAAAATCTAACAAAGTTTCACCCTGTATTAAAACTGTAATAAAGCGAAAAGCATAAAATGTGCTGTATATGTCTTTTCTGAAAAAAACTGAAGTTTAACTTTAATATATGCAAACTTTTATTATATTCTGACATATAAAAGTTAAATAGCATACACAAAATGCATGTATACACAAATTGTGCACACAGGGTGAGACTTTGTGTCACAATATAAATCTTATATCTTATCAAATTTATGATAATATCTTATAATAAGATAATATCATAAATTTGTTTTTCAGTATATAATGCAGTATAATTATTTGATGATAGAAAACAAATATATGCAGTAAATATAGCAGATAAAATCTACCTCTGTATTACATTTAGTTGGAGCACATAAAATATCTTTTAAACCTAAGGGTGGGTAATCAATTAGTTTAAACTTGTTTGACTTGATTCTTTGTTGAATATTCCGTGAAGTAATATATCCAATTTTTCCATCATTTTTATCTTTCAAATATTCGATAATGGAAGTATATTCACATTCTGATAAAACAGAGCTGTTTGACTTGTTGTTAAGATTTAACCATTTTTTAAACTGATATTTTTGCTGTTCAAAACATTCAGGATTCATTTTACCAATTTTTCCTATCATAGGATTACAAAAATTAGACATAAAACATTCACAGACTTTATGATACCAATACATATTTCAAATACGTTTATATTATTATACAAATACTATTTGTAATATATTACAATACTAATATACATTATTATACAATACAATAATATACAACTTTTTATATACTAATACGAAACACTAATTTTTTATTTTTTTTTTATTCTTATCTAATGTTAAAATATAATAAATTATATAATATATCATAAAATATTTTCAAAAAATCACTCGCTCTTGAGTGTTTGCATTTTAAAGTTTAAAAATTTGCTTGAAATGACATTATAAATATCAACTCGCATTAAAAAGTCACTCACCCCAAGTAAAACTGACCTACCCCGAGTTTCAATGAAAAACCGCACTCGGGGTGAAACATCACCCCAAGCCCGGCTTCGGTTGAATACGGACTTAGGGTGGAACACAACTTTTTAAATTTTTTAATGAGAAAATAAAATCCAGGCTGCATAACTGAAAGATTTTTTTAATTGTTTTTAACTAATTTTTGCCGATCTAGTAAAAGGAATTTTGCATTAGCTTTTTTTTAAAATTGCAATTTAAATTAAAGTTTTCTCGAGATTAAGTATTTTAACTTAATGGTGTTATATTAAGTTTGCATTTTTTTGGATATAATTTACATTGATTTCATTAAATTTAAATGGCTAGTGTTAGCATGTCAACTGCTTCTTTTCAACGAAATGCAACATGTTGTTGTAGGTACGATGACTGATTTTTTTAAATTGATTAAATACTATAATATTATATATCATTAGAAAGCCCTCAAATACAGTATTTTAAAGGTGAAAAAATTATGAAAATCGGACTATTCAATAAAAAGTTATAGCGTTTTTAGAAGCAAATTTTCGATATATGGATTTCTTGATAAAACTGTAGTCAAAAAAAAAAATTTTCACATAAATTGTTATATATTTACGAATTCTTATTTAAATATCTATAACTTGGTATCAAAAGATAGATGTAATAATGGGCTATAGTTTATAGGTAAAAGGCGCATCGAGGGATCCAGAGGGGGTGCTAATCCACCACCTACCCCTCACAAAGTTACACTATTTTTTCATAATAGTGTTTTTTTTTTAAAAAGTTGGTAGTATTTATATACAACGAGTTGTTTTTTATTTATTCCACACCACTTGCAAATTTTACAGGTCTATCTTAAAGTTTGGTGTTGGTTTGTGGTGCAGGTTTAACACACCCTATAAAAATTTAATTTTTTTAAATATTACAATCTTTACTAAAAATGAAATCTATGACAAAAAACAAAAAATATATTTCAACACTTAAAAAAATATTGACTATTGGTGTATAAATTGCTTTTATGGAAGAGGGTGTATGCCGCCCCCCTTCCACTCCTGAAAAAAAATTTTTAATGAAAATTTTACAAAAATTGTTAAAATGCTTTTTTAAACAGAAAAACTAATACAAAAAAATAAATTAAAGTAATTGTTTTTGTTTATAGAATTGCCCCCCGAGCCGCTCCTGTATTTCGCTTGCCGAAAAAACAACAATAGAAAAACAGAAATTAGTACCAAAAATGCTACACTTATTAAACTATTTGCTTATTATTTCTTTTTCAGTAAAATTTGACATGTACATAGAAAATGCATTTAAAAAACATTTTTTATAATAAAAAAAGAGGGCTCAACATTTTTTCGACTAAAAATTAATGTGAGAACATCAACCAAATTTTCATGCGAATTTGACAGCAAAATAGTCCATTAAAAAGTATTGCAACCATGCTTAACAAACATATAAAAATCAAGCTTAACCTTTTTACTTTTAAATAACGGCTTACAATTATATATGTTTCTAAAAAGAATTACTAGAAAAATAAGTTTGCCTAAGTCTACATAAAAAAAGTGTTATACTTAAAATAACACTAATTAGACTATTTGCTTATATCTCTTTTTCGATGAAATTTGGCATGTGCATAGAAAATGCATGTAGAAAACATTTCTAATAATAAAAAAAAGGGGCTCAACATTTCTTCAACTATAAATTCATGTGAGAACACCAACCTATTTTTCAGTAGCAAAATAATCCATAAAAAAATTCAATAACAATACATAAAAGTCTTATAAAAAACAAGCTTAACTCTTCTTCTTTCCAAAAATATACTATGTGTATATATGTTTTTATAAAGAAATTACTTAAAAATACGTTTGCCTTACACTACCAAAAAAAAAGTCAAAAAAACGAGTCACAGAATTTTAGCACAAAATTCGGTTCCGTAAATCGCTAATTCCGCGTACCTAGTTGTTGCTGCTGAAAATATTTTTGAGCAAGGTCTTTATCTTTATCTTTTGTAAATTCAACAATAGAAGATTCGATGAAGCTGTATATATATCCCGGTTATTTCCTGGAAATTAGCAGTTACCCAACTGTAAATTGTTCCAGTTGTAGAAGAAATCTTTACATGATCAAGTCCGGTAATACACCCAGAGGCTCGTGGGAGAGAAAGTATCAAAGGTAGAATGTAAAACTATATTTTAAACTCATTATTTCTGTCAAGTTTTTTTAAGCTATTAAGTTTATTAAGTTTATTAATATTAATTTCTTCAGATATAGATACCATCTATATAGAAATCAATAGTCTTAAAAAATAAGCTTTAATAATTATTAAAAAAACGTTAAAAACGAAAATAACGTTATTACGTGTTTTTATTTTTAACCTTATTATTAAAAAAGATATACCTTTACTATTTATAGCAAATTCTGAATTGTAATGAAGCACTTATATTTATATAGTTTTTTATTTCACTTTTAAAGGTTGAATGGAAAATGTAGACCAGAAATTCAAACGGAATGCTCCCAATTAGTGAAACCGAACCAGTTATATATTTTCTGCCAATAATTCAAAACTCTGTGGACAATGCTACTCAATCTTATCGGAAGGACATGCCCACAACTGTTCTTCGTCAACTGCTGTAAAAAGCTTGATTATTCTATCCACAAGTCTAGGGAGCATTCAAGCTGAACAAGTTGCTTCAGGTATAATACAAAATAAATTGAGTGCAGACTGCACTTCAACAGGGACAACATTTTCTTTATCAACTGGGGGAAACCCGTTGGATGTAACTGTTGGATGTCCTTCTAACAAGGTAAATAGAAGATAAGTAAAACAAGTATCCTTACAAGTTATAAAGGAACTTCAAGTCGTATTAGAGCTTTCTCATAAAAAGACCAAACAATTAATTTCTACTCTTCGGAAAGGAATAGGGAGTAAGACTGTTGTAGAAACTAACATTTTTGGCAAGTTAAATGTTCTTTCGGAATCCGTATCACATTTTTATCATGTAGAAAATGTAGTTTAAATATTTTAAATATATTCGTATTTATATATTATTTATAGATATCTAGTAATATATTGATCAAAAAATTGCTCTTTTATGATGTTAGATTTTCTAATATAAAATGATATGCAAAAAAAAGAGAGATCCTTCACTGTGAATAAAACATTCTTATCCTATAGTGAGATAGAAACTGATCTTCTATAGATCAGACAATGCTTTTTAGGCTTATTACTTTGAATACTAATCTTCATAGTGGTTGTAAAAAATTCCTAATTTTCATAACAGGCTAACACCAGGAAAGACATTTGGTTGTAAAAAAAGTTGCTTTAACTCTTCTATAAGCCATATAAATATATAAAATGCCATTAAAAAAAATATGTCCTAGCCAAACAAGTGTGTATTATTTATATAACTATTATTTTTTATGGCTAAACATGTTTATTCATTACAAAATGTACTTATACAATGTGTAACCATCCATATATGTACAATATTATTTGTAAAATAGTGAAGCTAATTTAAAGTTGAATGATATTCGAATTAGATTTTGAATAATTTATATAATTATTTTGTGTTTTTTATTAATCTTTAAGTTTTCTTAGTAATTTTTATATACAATATAATGACACTATATGAATGTGACAAAATAAATAAACTTATCTATTTATACATCTTTTCAGATAGATTTCCTTGACAATGAATTGAGATTTGTTGAAAAGGATCTTGTGTATGTTTAAGAGTCATCATCTTTCACAATGGATTTGATTAACCGTGGTTTAGACGTTTATTCTGCATTGGTACGAATTTCTATGGATAGTGAAGGATCCTTTTTGAAAATTATAATCAATGTTTTTGATGTAAATGAAAAAAAAAAGTCTTCTGTAATGTACATGAATAGTGGACTTTTTTCAATAAAATAATAATCTAAATAATAAATCTAAAAAATCTAACATGCAACAATATATGAATGTGATACATCCGAGGATTCTTTATCTAGAGAAGTGTCTAGATACTCTAATTCAGCATTTAGTACCACCTCCTGAATTACATTTTTTGATTGGAGTTTTATCTACTTTAGGATGTCTACTTATGGATATTTGGCCTGAATTTGATGACTGGCTGAAAACTAAAAGTGTTTATCAGAGAGAGTATCAAGGTAGAGGTTGGGACGGAAATAATTCTAACAAGATCCTGGATGAACTTGATAAAGTAGTAGCATCTCAGGTTCCTCAACTGAGACCTATAATTCAGTGTTTGAAAGACTTTAAAATAGTAAAAGATTCCTGTTTTGGTCAAATTCTTTTGACAGAGTATAAAATGGCATTTACTGTGTTTAAAAATTCTTTCCTTTCTACCCAAGAGCTTGCTCAGGCTTTAGGGAAAAAATGTTTTTAAAGCGGGAAGTTTCACATCTTGCTGTGTTATGTTCAACCTTTTGTCGAACACCAAAACTGTGGACAAGCTAAGTTTGCTGAACAGTGTGGAGAGGCTATCCATTCTAAATTTAAACCTACCTGGAGTAGATATAAGACAAATATCATAAATTAACAAATTTTTCTTTCAATGGTCGTCTAAAATACTTCAATGGGGGTAGGGTCCCTCAATTTTATTTTTTTGTGTCCTTTGTGATCCTTAGGACTTTGTTCCAACTTTTATAGTTTAAAAACTTTATATTTTATTTTTATAAGACACATATTCTCAATTAATTTATATATATTTTGTAATGGGCGTCTAAAGTGGTCAAATGGGCATCGGGCCCCTCAATTTACTTTTTTGCCCCATTTGTGACCCTTAGCACTTTTTTCGGATTTTAAAAACGCTAGATTCTATTTTTATAAAGCAAATACTCTTAAATAAGAAATGTTTCGTTCAAGTGACACGACATAAAACCTGGCGGTCTCTTTGGCCAACCGTGCTAGTTATATCATAGGTTTGTTTTCGAAATAGAAAAAGAATCTGTTATATAATGCTTATATTAGAAACATATCAACTAAATATGAACAGAAACCATTGTTACCATTGTTTTATC